GGTTGGTATAATGTATTCTTTATGGAAAGCTCCAGCAGAGAGATTCTAGTGCCTCGTTTCATATTAATTGTGGCGGTCTGGATTTAAATTGGCTGACTACCTTTCATGTTCGGTACTTCTCCAGAGATGCTGAGCTGCAAAGTGGTACAAATTTCCAGATATATTATTAGGCATTGTGCACGTTACTTTATAGTACCAGTTACAAAATGCCTAAGCTGTAATAAATATATAGATACCCACCACCCTGCACAGACAGACGGACAGATATAAAATTCCATTGGGCTGACTGTGAATGCATTATTCATTTCTATGAGTTATTAATGATCTTGTAACTCACCAGTGACACACAAAATCAGAGCCGCAAGTGAATAATGAAAGGACATAAATAAAGTCCAAATGAATAATGTATCCACCATCAGGCCATGGGTATTTTGTTTGAACAATAGTGTTTTTCTTTGCTGTATCTTTTTTTTTTCCTTCCTATTTCACGGATTGTTTTTATTTGGTCAGTTTGCATCCTGCCACTTGATTAGTTGCAGGAGGTTCTGTATTGTCTTGTGTGATTAGATGGTGAATTAATTCTTTCCTGTCTCTTCTATTTTGCTCCAGATTTCTATTATCAGATTGGCACAGCTACTGATTTCTGGAAGGCTTCATTAATTTGCTTGTAATTCTCCTATAATGTATAGACAGAGGATATACAAGGGATTACTTTTGGAGACACGGTTTGTATTTATGTATCTGGATATACATTCTTATGGAGCAGGGGGGAAGGATGTTTCATCCTGTAAAACCAGCCTATGTAGGATTGTGGGCCCACATCACATTCATCCAACCCCCCAGAACGTGACTCGGAGAGACTGAGAAATGCATGTCTGTCTCTGGCACTTGTGTGTCATGCGTTGAGAGGCTTTACTTTGCACAACCATAAGCCCAGGCAGTGGAACAATTTGGTGCAGGTCTGACCTGTTTGAAAGCCACATCCCTGGTGTTCACACTGGGATTGCTCCAGTTTGGGTTCATCTCTGCATCATGGTGTAAGTAGGTAAGATCCTTTATTGAAGTAAATAAATGTTGCTTCTCAAGAAGAAAGCCCAAGAGGAAGGTAATTTTAGGACTTAGCTTTGGTTTGCTCTGGTGTCTGCATGTGCCTGGAGCCTCGCTCCTAGTGAGACGCAGGTGCTAATTCAGAGGCGGGCAATTATTTTGGGCAGAGGGCCGCTTACTGAGTTTTGGCAAGCCGTCGAGGGCTGCACAACAGGCAGCCAGGGGCAGATAAATATGAATTTTCTAAATTTTTTAGGGGCCCCACGGGATGGATAGAATGGCCTGGCGGGCCGCATTTTGCCCACCCCTGTGCTAATTACTATGGAAGAAAAGAGTCCCCTACCTAAACCACAGGCCATTTCCACAAAGTGAATGGAGCCCTGATTTTGTAACTAGTTAGGATCCCAGTCAGTCAAACTGATAAGAAGCACCATGGTCTGTTTTGTGCTGGTGCAGTAGCATACTGTGCTCTCCCATCTTCTCACTCTGTTGCTAGCAGTACGCTACACGGTACATTGGGCTCCTGGCCCCTAGGCCTCCATGGCAGCTGTCATTGCCAAAGATGGAGGGCATTTTATTCTTTTTCCTGGACTCTTTCCACCATCTTCTAGAGTTGAGATTTCATATACAAAACACGTAATCCTCTGCCCCAGCTCAGGGTGGGGCTTTCATTTCATGGAGACCTTCCTGATGCTGCAGGCTGCTGCTTGCTCTAGGGTTTGATAGCTCCTGAGAGAAGATGGGAAGGTGTTACCAATTAGATTATGGAAGGAAATAGTAAGGGACCAAGTAAGGCTCCCCCAAGAGTCACAAACAGAAGTTACCTGTTCTCCAGACTCCAGCCTCAGGACATTTCTTTTCAGCTCTAGCAAGGAGTGAGTTCAGTGGTAGATTAAGATTGACTGGGGCCCTGGGCAAACAGAAAATTGGAGACCCCCTACCAGGCAAGGGCAGGTTCCCTCTGCACCTGCCAGGGGGCTGCAGCTAGGCCTGCCCGGCCTCCTCAGCATGTCTGGGGCAAGCCAGGGGGCATGAGCACCGCTGACGTGAAGGTGGCACGGCCCCTCTGCCTGGCAGGTGTCGCACAGCCAGAGCTGCAGTTCCCCAGCGCTGCAGGACGGGCTGGAGCCAGGGTCAGCTTGTTGGGGGACATGAGCTCTGCCCCTGGCTGCCCGCCCACCCCTCTGCTGGCCTGGGCAGGGCTGGGCTGTCCCGTCCTGTCCCAGCAGCGTTGGTGCCAGTGGCTGCCTGCAGATGGCAAGGAGCAGAAGCGGGGCTTGGCTACAGCTGACACTAGCTGGGGACTTGGGCAAAAACCAGCAGAAGCAAAAGCAAGATGCTGAAAAAGGAAGCATGACTATATGCTGCTCTCCCCTCAGAACGGTGTTGGTCTCAAGAGATCAGGATGTGAATTGCAGCCAACACACTTTCCTTCCCCTCCAAGTCCCCAGCAGACCTGACACCTCCCCCAGCACTAGTTGGTTTAAAATGTAACTAGTATTAGAAGGGTACCTCTGAATCCCTGGGGAAACTCATGCGCAGGCCAGTGTTTTGGTTAATGGGCCATGCAGCCGTTCTGATTTGGAGTGCCTGTAGGAGATCAGCCCTGGCTAGCTTTCTGCTGCATGGTCATTACACCTCACAACCTTACATGAATGAATGAATGAACATGCTGGGCAGGTTTTAAGTGGTGGCAAGGTCAGGCCCTTCTGTGATGAGACTTTGAAACTATGAAGCGAAGCTGTCTAATACTTCCTTCCCCAGCCCCCATAGCCCCCAAATTCTTAAAGCTGAGACAGTGTCAAGAACCCCCTCCCCCTGAACATTGCAATATTCAGCTTGTGCTTGATGGGGCTGAAGCTGTTTTCAAATCGCTTTTCCGCTTTTTAGAACACAGCTCTGGCTTTGATCAGCAGCACAAAGTGATCAGGGGCATTTATTATTCCACAGATATGAGCTGGCAAAGTGTTCCTCATGCATCAGATCTCCAGCAAGGCGAGGGAAAGCAGGCAAGGCAAGAACTTCAAAGATCAGGGGAGGGAAAGATTGTAGGGTAAGCTTAATGTTCTCCCCTCCTCCCTTCTCTCTGTCTCTAGCGTTTTGTCTCTATTTGGATCCAGCTATGGCAATAAACAGAAAGATGCTTCATGACATATTGTAAGACATCCTCTGGAAGTGGAGGATGTACTTAACCTGTGTACTGCAATAGTGATGCTCAGGACCAGATTGAAAACAAAATGCAACCCAAGGGAAGCTCTGCTGTGGGCAGTGACTGAAGACTTCTCTTTGGTGTGCTGTGATTTCAGTGAACAGAATTAAATTCATTCAAAAGAAACATGACTGGGTTGGAGGCCAACTTCTAGAAGATGAACATTGTTCACATGAGCAGGACAATTGTGTTTCACCTGGTGGAATGAAGTGAGGACTGCTTCTCTGGTGGTGGCACCGTTCTAGAAACAGAAGAGATGTAACACTCGGATTTAAGGCCATAGGTCAGTGTCTGTCTGGTAGGAGTTAGGAAAATAACTTCATCTACAACCAGTCCGTCCAATCTTTTTTCTCCATTTTGCCCCTTCCTCCAAAAGAGTTGCTACCAGTCACTGTCAGATCAACCCTCAGTCTCTCTTAGTATTGCAACTCCTTTGTTTCCTGTTCGGGGTGTAATGCTTCTAGCAAGATCTATACAGTTCTTCTCTTCCTGTCCCAAAAAAAGGCAAATGATCCCTTTGCATTAAAATCAGATCAGGGTCCAAAATGTCTTGTAAAAATGCTGCAGTGACTTTATTTGGAGCTGATATTTGTTCACACTTTTTCTGACAATAGAAATATGAACTCCCAGGCTAACAGTGTTCAAGCACAATTGGCTTAATCTCCCTTCAGTATTTAACACTGGCAACTCTGCCAGGTGCTGTGGACTTTCAGTGAGCTGATGCTTCTTGCATGGCTTAGCACGCACATGACACAAGTGGTACAGGCCTAGAGCTGAGAACACACACTTTCCATTCCAAGGCTGATGTCTGCACTCCCATTGTCTGTCTTTGGCTTATGCCTTTTTTAGGTGAATGTCCCATCACATCACACAAAACAAACGTATTTCCCAGTTTAACAATGCAGGGACTTCCCATGAAAACTGAAGTTTAGCAGCCCCCACACTGGTAGAATGGCTTTGATGGTGCAAGTGCGCCATCTTCAGGTCAGAAAATCCATCATCAATGCCCGCACAAAGCGCGGCCAGCATGTGCTAAGTATACACGCCCCAGACACTTATACAGAATGGTGTGGCTCTTATGCCACAGATGTGCAGCCAATTCTACTCTGTTTTTTTTCAAGAAGAAAATCCTATTCTTTGCTTTTTGCGACTAGATCTTACTTATACGTGTGTAACCATGTTTCAGTTGGTTAAATGGATTAATAGGAGGCATTTGTTGTAGCTGTCTTTGTAAGAAGCTGAGGATTGGGACTTGTGCTAGAATGAAAGTAGGCTGCTTTTGAGAAGTGCTTGGCTTGTGTTAGCCCAGCAGGGTGAATATTTAGAAGGGATAGGATTGCTGCTGATAAATACATAAATGGAAGAGGGAGGAAAAACACCAGGGAGGGAGAAGAGCAATTTAATATAAATATCAAGAGCAATTAGGCAAAAGCTGGCAATGTACAAACTTAGGCTAGAAATTATTAAATGATTTCTAACTCTCAGTGGTGTGAGATCCAGGAATAGGCTTTCAATAGGAGTAATGAGGGCAAGAAACCAAATTAGTTTTAAGCTAGATCTTCATACCCTTATGACTAGGAGCATGTGATATGGCTGCTTGCAAAGAGGTTCCTTCCACATGTGTCTTGCATTCCTGTGTAATCATTGAGGCAGTGTTGCAATGTGCCACAAAGCCAGAAAGGGCAAAAGTGTAGAGGCTTATCCTGTTGTTAGATTTTTGAGCTCAGTGCTTGTTAAAGGAGAGGAATGACAGGTCTCAGAAAACAACAGCACCAACAACAGTCACTGGGCTCTTTATCTGCAGAGCCAGAGCAGTAAGCTGCACTGAGCTCTATCAGGTAACTCTGCCAACGTGCCTCACCTTTGGGAGAAAGCGAGAGATTGTGGTATGGAAGTAGGATAAACCTGCTGACTGAATGGAAGATGCAGAGAGCTACCAGCATGGGTGAAAATGCAGCGAGTCTTCGAGAGCTCCAGGTAACACGATCAGCATGTACAAGTATCTTTAGGGGCAGGGAGTGAAATTCTGGGGCCTTAAGTCTAATGGAGAAAGGTCGTAATAATGATTCAATAATTACTTGAAGCTAAAGCCAGACAGATTTGGAAATAAGGACCTGTCATGTTGTAGGTTCAGTTCACAGAGGCCTGAGCCCCTCTTACAAAGTGGTTTCTTTAATAATTTGAATTATGCTAACAGCACCCAGACACACACAGCCATCAGGTTCTCAGCTAAGTGTAACCAGAATGTCCTGGAGGGGAGCTGGATAACAGCTGAGCCCTTAAAGGTATATAATCCTCACGGGGCCCAAATCCTATTCTGCCTTAAGGTGCTTTAAATACTATTTGTACATTCAAGTACTGATGAACAAAAGGCATTTTTGCCATTTACACAAGCTTTAGATCATTTTTCTACCTGCATAACTAGAGTTTACCCATTTGAGCAGCGTAGGCAGAGAAAAACCCAGTGGACCAGCGATGGGGGGAGGAGGGCAAGAGGAGGGGGACCTGCTCCTGCTCTCGGTAACTTCTGCAACTTGCATTCAGACCCAGATCCCCAGCCACAAAGCCAGGCCCCTTCATGGGCCAGCCTCCCCAGCAGGGATAGCAGGTGCTCTTGGTTCTGCTGAGCCCACAGCCTGGCAGTTAAGGCAGGTCTTTGGGAAGTGGGACATGTGCGTTCAACCCCTTCTGGGTGAGGGGGAAGCTAGAAACTGCATCACCTACTCACTGGGTAAGTGTCCCAGCCATTAGGCTAGTGGGTGAAAAGATACAAGGCTGTCTTCACAATACATAGCACAGCCTCCTTGGTTTTCTTCTTTGACTGGCTTTTTGAGGACTGTGCCTTCCCAGTTGGAATGGAATTGCTACCAGGAGAAAGGGGCTGTAGTGCCTCCCTTGGGAACAGGCTCAGCACAGCAAATGCGATCATGCAGGAGGAACTGTTTCTATTTAGATACATAAGAAGCACTCTGGTGCCATTAGAGGAGATGGGACTTGGGCCAAGGAGGGGATGGGGGACGGTGGACAGTTTAACCATTGGAACAAACTACCAAAGGAAATGGCTGAGTCTCCAGGCCTAGATGCCCTTCTAACCAAGCCTAGATGTCTGCCTGGAAGATAGGCTTCAATCAACACAAGCAATGCAGCTACTGCGTTCAATACAGGGGTAAGTGGGTGAAACTTGATGTCCTATGATATATAATGGAAGGCAGACTAAATGAATGATCTTTTCTGGTGTTAAACTCTCTGAACCTCTGGGAACATGGGACATGACATTTCAAAACCACTGACTAGGTAGCTGAGGGTCTAGTTAAAGCAGTGGCTTCCCTGGCCACTATGATCAGTTCAAACCAATGTTTAAACCATAAGTCTGAACATTAAAAAATATATCCTTAAAAACAATTTCCTCCTGCAGCATTGGATATTGGCAAGGTTTTCTTGGTGTTGGCTGAAGGCAGCTTCCCTGATAGTGTTTGCTTAGAAACTGGCTGATATGCCTGTGCTTTGTGAGGCAAAGTGGTATCTTATATTGGGCCAACATGTATTGCTGGGAGGGAAAGCAGACTAGTTTTCGGGGATCAAGCATCCTTCATCAAGGGAAAGAAGCACTCATAGGCCAAACTAAATGTAATTGCTTTTATTTAACTTATATTAATTAATTAAATTAGTTGAAAGGGCAGTGTGCTGTTACCACCTGTGGAGCAAAAAAGATGTTAACAGAGGGAGAGGGCAAGTTATGAGCCATAAATCCAATGTCTCATAAGTCCATGGTTTCCTGTGTCTAGTAAAGTTATTATTTTCTATTTCCTGGGCAGTTTCCTGAAGCACTAGGTAGGTTTCCCTTTGAAGATAAGGCTTGCGAGCCTGGAGATGGAGTGAGCCTTTTGTGAAAAGCATTCTCTCTCTGGTGACAGCCTTTCTGCCCTGTGTCTTTTTGTTGTTGGAGGTCATTCTAATGCACAGTGGTTGCTTGTTTCACCGGTGCAGTTTTTCATGAAGGCATGTGGTGCATTGGGGAGGGAGGCATATTCTGATCTGGTTAGGCATGTCTAGGATCCATGGGTTCTGGTGGGTATTTTTTGCGGGGGCAGAGAGGAAAGGCAGTTGTTTGTGGGGAAGACCTGTGAGTATTTTGGTAAGGTCTGGTTCCATCTGATGGGCATGTTGGTCAGGGGAAAGTCTGATGGAGGAAGATGTTTGAAAACCAAGAGGGAACATGAGTTTAGAAAACATCTTTCCATGATGTGCCCTTAAAATAAAGCATGCAAGAGGTTAATGGTCTTTCATTGACAAACATATTTTTATCCCAAGGCACTGCACAGTGGTTACTATTTTAAACAACTGTTTTTAACAATAAGTATAATGATAGCACTGGGTAAAGGAAGTAAGACATCCCTGTGTTTATGCCCTGTGCTTTCCATAAGCCGGCTTTCTTATCATCTGTCTCTCAGGCTTCCTGTATAGCAAGATGGCTCTGCTAGGCCTAAATGCAGTTTATAAAGCAATATTTTCAGAGTTTATTGTTGGTCTCTACACAGAGGAAACATTTTTTCATTTCCTCACGCATCCCAAAGTTGGGTTAATAGGAACCAATGTTCACTGTTCCAGGCATAGAGCAATATCCTAATAAAGTCCAGTTGAAAATAAGCCCCAGTAGTCAGAAACAATTTTGCTTGAGTTTCCTGATTGGAATCCAGATGATTGAATGGAATTCCTCAATGAGCAGCTGGCATCCATGCTGCAGACAGAAGGGAGGGGAAGACTCCTTTAATTATCTTCAAGTCAGGAAAGATCAGCAACTTGAATCAAACCAGATGGAGGATATAATCTGCCAGCAATACTTGTGATTGGATAAATATAGCTCCATGGTTGAGAACATAAAGACAAAACAAATGGTGATGGAAAAAGGAATTTCTCCAGAGGTTGGCCCTGTGGACACTAGGAGATTTATACAATAGCTATTCTCCAAGGTGGAAATGGAAAGATTACATGTAAAGGATGAGGAGTCTTCCTGCATCTCAGTTGTGAGGCTGCCCTTTGTTGTAGCTGAATGTTGAGAGGTTGGTTTGTTGTGCAGGTCACCCCCGAGTGTGCACTCTTCTCGCCCCCTCTCCCCACCTCCCCTGCACCCCTGGTAGCCGCCCCTCGGGGAGGCCTGAGATTCTGGTCTGTTTGTTCCATCTTCTGACTTGGACCATCAAGGCTCACGCAGGTCCAGATGTCCCAGGTTTGGCAACTCCATTCCCTCTTCCCCTCCCCTCCCCTCCAGTCACGCAAGGGCATGACAACACATTGTGGTTGGAGTTCCAGTCCTGTGAATGCAGATTGCTCAAGAGCGATTGGATGATGCCAGAAAGAATGTTTTTTCCCAGCCAAAATTACTGGCTGATTAATGGCTAGATTTTGGGTTTGGAGTACTACTACACAGTGATCCCACAGCTTTAAAAGGGGTGAAGAGCAGAGGGTGCTTTGGCTGTCATTATGCAGATCTAACATACCTGTTGAGCACTAAAGCTCCCATCGTGTAAACTGATCACTGGGGACTGAACCACCTCTTTCCCCACAAATAAACAGCTCTTCCCCCAACGAATACCCAAGACTCCACTGATGTTAAATGGGGCTTTGTACAGTGAACCTATTTGCAAGAGCAAAGCCTTAGTTCATGATTGCTGTTGGAGGATCTCTCATGCCCTTAAACTTTCCCAAACAGACCTTCTACTTCTGTGCTTCACTAAAGGCCAGGGCCTATATATTGCAGGAACAGGGATATAGACATGGATACTACTCTGAGTAATGTACCCTAACTCTACCCTGAGGTAGCTTGATTTGCTCTTTCCCATTTGTCCCCTTCATCCAATGACACTAATGCAACGGTGCCCATAAAGGAGGTAAGGCTCTTGCTAGATACAGAGCAGGAGTCGGGCATATGGAGATTATTCTTAGAGCAACTGACCTCTGCCCTTACCCACTTTGCATCTCTGCTTCATAGATTCATAGATGTTACGGTTGGAAGGGACCTCAACAGATCATCGAGTCCGACCCCCTGCATGGCAGGAAAGAG